AAATGCACCACCTGTGTGTTTATGGATCCTATGAATCGGGTATGTAAGCCGTATCTAGATAAATTCATCATAGTATTCATTGATATCTCATTTACTCGAAAAGACAAAAAGATCATGAGCAACACTTAAGAATGACTTTAGAACTATTAAAGCATGAAAAACTTTATGCAAAATTTCCGAAGTGTGAAATTTGGATTCGAGAAGTCCACTTCCTAGGACATATTATTAATGAAAAAGGTATCATGGTAGATCCAAGCAAGATCGAGTGCATAATGAAATGGGAAACCCCATGATCAACAACTGACGTACGAAGTTTTCTTGGACTAGGCGGATACCATCGACGATTCATTCAAGACTTCTCTAAAATAGCAACTCCACTTACAACATGAACAAGAAAGGCTTGCAGGTTCGATTGGGTAGCTACGCAAGAAGCGGCTTTTCAATCTTTAAAGAATAAGCTATGTAGTGCACCAGTTTTAAGTCTGCCCTAGGGAATAGAAGACTTTGCAGTGTACAGTGACGCATCTAAACAAGGCTTGGGATGTGTGCTTATGCAAAAAGGTAAAGTAATTGCCTTTGTATCACGCCAATTAAGGGAACACGAGAAATGATACCCAACACATGATCTAGGATTGGCTGCAGTAGTTTTTGCTTTGAAAATTTGGAGACATTATTTGTATGGTACAAAATGTGTATTCTACACTGATCATAAAAGCCTCAAGTATTTATTCAATCAAAATGAATTAAATATGAGGCAAAGACGTTGGATAGAATTACTAAACGACTATGATTGTGAAATCAAATACCATCCAGGGAAGGCTAACGTTGTAGTAGATGCTTTAAGCCAAAAAAAGCCAACTAAACCCATGCGAATTAAGGCATTAAATTTGCTGGCTACAAACACCTTGTTGCAAAAGGTTCAAGAAGTACAATAGGAAGCATTGAAGCAAGACAATCAAAAGGGGGAAAGGATTTTCGGGTGAGCTAAATTATTGGAAACTAATGATAAAGGAATCAAAAGGTTTCAAGGATGAATCTTGGTTCCAAGAATAGGCAACAGTAGAGAAGTAATTTTGGATGAAGCACACAAATCCAAGTATTCAATCCACCCTGGAACCTATAAGATGTACAAAGACTTAAAACCTCTGTATTGGTGGCTAGGATTGAAGAAGTCTGTGGCTAATTACATAAAAAAATGTCTTACGTGTCCAAAAGTTAAGATTGAACACCACGAAATTGATAAAACAGTCCTAGAAACAGAATTCTCCCACTTAGCTTTCGTCTCTCAGTGTCGGTGTCAGCCCATCCGAGTGCTTTTTCCGTTGAGAAAAAGATGGCTTTTCCCTGATGAAATGCAAATTGGATTAGGAATTTTGGGGGAGTAAAAAGCCCCTTTGACATTTCTTCATCTAGAAATAAGACCCTATGGACAGTTACAGCCGCTAGACATTCCTGTTTGGAAATGGGAACATATCACTATGGACTTTGTTACAAGGTTGCCAAAAACACCCAAAGGTTTTGATGCTATATGGGTTATCGTTGATCGATTAACCAAGACAGCACACTTTTTGCCGATAAGAGAAACACAAACCTTAGAAAAATTAGCCAAAATGTATATTGACGAGATTGTTTAAAAAAACGGCGTACCAATATCAATTGTGTCAGATTGAGATCGTCGTTTTACTTCAAATCTTTGGAAGAGTTTCCAGAAACAGTTGGGATCACAGATCAGAATGAGCACGATATATCATCCTCAAACTGATGGTCAAAGTGAAAGAACTCAAACATTATGTGCCATCGACCTGAAAGGTCATTGGGATAACCATCTACCTCTTATCGAATTTGCTTATAACAACAGTTACCATAGTAGCATCAAAGCAGCCTTATATGAAGTCCTATACGGAAGGAAATGTAGAACACCGATTTGTCGGATGGAAGTTGGTGAAAAGTTGCTAGCTGGACCGAAATTATCCAACAAGCTGTGGATAAGGTTACTCAAATAAGGGAAAGACTCAAAATCGCACAAGATAGGCAGAAAAGCTACGCTGACAAAAGAAGAAAGCCTATTGAATTCCAGGTTGGTAACATGGTATTACTAAAAGTATCACCTTGGAAAGGGGTTCTATGTTTTGGCAAAAAGGGTAAATTACGACCACGATATATTGGGCCCTATAAGGTAATTGAAAAGATAGGAGAAGTAGCATATCGACTTGAACTACCAGAAAATTTGAAGGGAATACACTACACTTTTCACGTGTCCAATTTAAAGAAATTCCTTGCCGAAAGGGATGTCGTGATTCCGGTTGAAGAAATTATTGTTAATGACAAACTCAATTTTGAAGAAAAGCCCCATAGCCGTCGCGGAACGTAAAGTTAAGAAGCTTTGAAATAAAGAGGTGTCCTTGGTCTTAGTCCATTGGGACTGTCACCATGGGATAGAATCAACATGGGAAGTAGAGTTGGAAATCCGAAATAAGTACCAACACCTTTTCGAGTAAAAATTTCGAGGACAAAATCTCTAAAAGGGAGGAAGAATTGTAACAACCCTAATTTTCAGCCACATATATAGATATATACATATCTTTATCATAATTTCTTATAAAGTTAAGTTGTTTCTAAAGGCTCTTAATATAAGAACTAAAACAAAGTAAATAAAATTATTAGAAAAAATATTAATAAATAAGTAAGCAAGCATACAAGTAGCTTAGAAAGCTACTTACCAATAAGCACATAAGTAGCTTACTAAGCTACTTAAAGACAAACAACTTGAGCCACAAAAATTCTTATGACAAAGCAAGCCTAGAGAATGAGTTGTAAGAGAAGAGGAGTTTGTGGCAACCCTAAAAGCATTACAAGGCAAGGCTAGAATGAACAAGTACATATGTGGCATATCCTTAAAAACTTACAAGTTGAAAAGCTAAGTGAACAAGTACCTTAAAGCATACCTTACACCCTATAAATAGAAGCTTAAAGGGCTCATTCTTTTCCATCCCAAGATTGTAATACTACCTTAAAGCATAATAAAGACAAAGAAGTGAGTTAGGAAGTCCAATATAAGGTGAGTACTTATGAGATTTATGAGGTGCATACATGCTACATATAAGTATTTTATGCATTACAAGATATTTTGGCATGTTTGCTTTATTTTAAATGTCATACAAAAGATGCATGATGACATGTTTTGATACAAGTATGTGTTTTACATCAAGGCATGAAAGTGTTTGCATGTTATAATACATGTATGTACACAAGGCATGAAAGTTTTTATACATGTTAAGTACAACCATTTAAGTATCCAACGTACGGGATGTGGAAAGAAGGTACGTCTTGCAAACGGACCTTATTGGGCAGCCCTTATGTGGACCCGAGGTTAAAGAACCTGGAAGAAGTTGGTTTACTTAACATGTAACTATGAGATCTCAAAGAAATGTTTTTATGCATGGAAGTTTATAAGAATTATTTTAATTAGTTGGAAAGAATGTTTTATCATGAAACCATAACTACTCACTAAGCTTAAAGCTTACTATTCATGTATGCATCTTAGGAATCAAGGAGTAGGAACAAGCTGAAGTATTGCTATTCTAAGATGTTAGAATATTATAAGTTGTAAATTTTCAGCATCTTCCGCTGTTGTATTAATTCTATTATAATGGAATAAAAGTTTTAAGATGCAAAGTTTTCTTTCATTCACTTGTACTAAGGGCAAAGGACGATACCCCCGGGAACGGGATGTCACATATTTGCTTTTGGAAGGAGGCAACAGGTGCAAAGGGCTAGGATAGAGTTTATTTTCTTCTGTAATTATTTTATTCTTTGTGTATTATTGATCAGATGCACATTTGATCTCTAGAATAGAATGCATCATCAACATGTGCAAAATTAAATACTCCAATAGTTAGGACTTCCATTGAAGGATAAATGGGATTAAGTTGTAATATGTTTTACGCATCCAGAGATGTTTTGCAGGGGAGGGTAATTCTGAAGTTTGATATCTCAGTTTCACCATTTTCGTGTTGCAGAAAATACTAGTTAAGGGTGTAGCTGGTTATTCAATCTCTACTTTCATATGCATTTCTTCATAAAATTGAAGGCTGGACCTTTGTGGTATTGAATTTCTTTAATGGGGAGATGGGGTTTTTGCGGATTTGATCAAATCAACAGCTAATTGGGTTTTGATTAGATCTGGTTTTTGAGACCATTTCTAATTGTTCTTGTTATTGCTTATATGTTTATAGAAATTTCTATATGCTTTGTTCTCTCCTCCCTTCTATCTTTCATGCATGCTTTAGTACAAAAACAGAAACCTACTAGTGTGTATAATGCTTGTGATACCAAATAGATGATCCTACATCCTGATTTCCAACGCATAACTGGCAGCCCTCCTTGCGAGTAGGTATAAGATATGTACATGAATAGATTGACGATCCTAATTGTATGATTTCTAGTCAACAGGAAATGTGCTTTTGATCTTTCATTCCTTCAATAAGGAAGGCATTATTTTATGTTGTTTTGATCAATCTACAAGGAGCATCAAGTTTAAGGATCTTCTTCAAACCTTTCTGTTATTAAACTAGATTCTATATTATTGTACAAAGTGACAACATGATAGATAACAGTATTTGCAAACACGATTCAGTATGATGACAATACTCGGCTAGAACATTGGGGTTCTTATTGAACTTTTAGCATTAGTAGAAGTTGTAAATCAATATAAAATGCTGTGTGAGATGTAAATTTGTTTCAAGTAAATTTGTTACAGAGTAATTATGTGTGTACAACTGAACACTTGTAAATAGGGAGGAGTCTAGGGTGAGTAACATGACAAAGTATAGCTTTTGAGAATTTTTGTCCTCTTTCCCCCACACATAAAATGCATGCATTGCAGCACACAGAATGCAAAATTGTAATATGTTTTTACTTAATCTACTTCCCATTTGCTATTGCATTCTAAAACTTGCAACCTAAGTATCTGTTTGCTTACTTTTAACCTCAAAATGCAGGATATTGCAGGTATACATTTAAATATTGATGTCAATAAATGCCTTCGTATACTTCACCTGGAGAAGATTAATTCATTAGCAGGTAAGTTATCTACCTAGATGCCTCTGACCTTGCTTTGTGCCTTTTTGCACTGAACTCATGTGACATTTGATGTTAAAGTTATAGAGCCTTGTATTATACAGGTGACTTTGTGACAGCAAATGTTCAGATAAATGAACAGGAATTATTTCTAGAGCTATCTGTTCCATTCATACAGTTAACACGTGCCTGTTATTCAAGACAAATGCTTGCTTATTTATCTTAATAGGTGTACTATCTATAAGAATGCATCTTGTCTGTTTACCGAGTGAATTGGGACTGTAATCACCGCCCCTACCAAAAATTGAGTTCTTGCTCTGTAACCTTATTTTAGTGTCTAATGTTTTTGTGATTGGTAGACTTTAGAAATACCCTATGATACCAATCAAGTTTGTCTGGAAATAGGTCTGCAATATACAAATGCAATCCAAATGTATGAGGATGATGCATTCAGTTCTTTGATAGCATACAAATCTTTTTGGTTCCTGTTAAGATCCATCAATGCACATGTCTAGTGTAGGGAAAAAAGAACTCTAGGGTTATAGCTCAATGTTGTAACACCCAAAAATCTATTTGATGAGGATCATATCTGAACCAAAAACCCTCAGGGTTGTCAGTTCAGGCCCTTAACATCTTCATCTGATAAAGCTTACGCTGTGTAATCAGAATTCTCTCATGTTAATAGCTTATACTACTCCTTAAATCTTAGGGCCAGTTTGGTTTGCGGGATTTGCTGGGATTTGGAATTGGATTTCATTCCAATCCGGCATTTGGTTTAAAGGAAAGTCTGGAATTGGAAATCTGAGATTTCAATGAATTCCCACAAACATTGGATTTAGAAATCCCACGGAGGTGGTTGGTATTTCATGGGATTTCATAGGATTTTTTTGTAATAATTTTTTAATATATGTTAAGAAAATTCATTTTCAATGATCATTAATAAAAGGCAATTTAGTTATTTTCATAATTACATATAGTTTGTTTTTACAAATAATCTATGAAGGATGGAATTCAATTTCATTCCAAATCCTACAAATTAAACACACCAAAGATCCCAAATCCTTCCACGAAATTCAAACCCCTCAAAAACATCCTGCCAAACAAAACGCCCCCATATTGTTCTTTAAGTTAGTCCTGTTGTAGTTTCATGATGTGGGGTTTTGAAAGGTAAGTGGCCCTCACTAGTTGCATAATATTTTGCTAGGTTACCATATCAAGCACTGTGCAGCATAGAAACTTGTACAATAATCTGCATAAATTGGAAACTTAGGCACAGAAAAATCCACCTTTTTCTCATTGCAAGTGTTTCTGATGATTTAGTGCAGTGGCTTGAAACTAGAAGCAAAGCATTTGAACCAACTTATCTATATACAATGGAAAAGGTAAGAGAGACTCTGAAATGATTCCTTTTGGTTGTTATTCTTTCATCAATTAATTTCTTTCTGAATTTACTTCATGAGTCATAAGATGAGTACCTGGGGAAGGGGAGGAGATTGGTGATGGAAATGGGGGAACCTACTACCTTTTTTCCTCTTACACGCTTGAACCCCTACCTTTCCTCCGGAGAAAGGGAGGGTACCATCCAAATTGAAGGATTGCTGATTCTTCTGATTTGAATACAAATAGAAGCAGTTCTATTCTCACTTATTTGAATTGCTTTTTGATGCTCCGAGTTCTCCAAAAAAGGCCGGGCATTTGCCATCCTTTCTATTTAAACGGAAGAAATGCATTTGTATTTTCTAATTGTAAAAACACATGATGTTTCCAATACTCCTCCCATGTCCTTCTTCCATGGCAGGTTAGAAACAGAAGTACTTAGGAATGTGTATCCTTTTCCGGAAAAGAGGTAAAAGTTTTCATGCAATATGAAGTCTTCAAGCTTGTCTTTGTAGGGTTACTTTCTGCTGCCTGAAAGAGCCAAATCACAACATAACATTCGAACCGTCAACATTAGCATTTCAGCCCGTGACTCGTGCTTTGGGAACAGGTTTTGGTCATCTCTATTTTTATCATTGATTCATTTTATTGTGGCATAGTGCCGTATCTAGAAATTGGTTTACTGTTTGAACTAGTTTGGGTGTTAGCTTAGAAGTTCTTTCTTTTCTTATGTCTAATGAAGACGTGAATTAAGAAAATCTAGTTCCTTATTCTATGATACACCGAAATATAAAAAATTCATGCATTATTAGTTGTTATTTACACATCTTACATTCTCCAGGTGGCAGCAGCTTCTGATCAATAGACTTGTAGGATATGATACTATTTTGATGAACAGCTTACTGAATTCTCCAGGTCAAGGTATATATATATATATATATTTGGATTGGAGTAATAAGTTATGTTACATGCATTAGGTGGAAGTAGTATGATGACCATGTTGAGTTCTTAATAGTTTTCCTTTTATTTTTGGGAATGTGTTTGAAATCTGATGCAGGCTACCTGTATAACTACCAGACAAAAGAGTTCTACAATCTTACATATGCGCGTGAGCAACCAGAAGGGTCAGCCAGATTGGGAGGTTTGCCACTTTTGTCATTTATATACTTTACGAAATCAAGAGAATATGGGTTTTTTCTATATCTCTCAAAACAGGAGCTGTACAGATATAGTACAAGGATACAACAAGCTGATCCTAAAGATAAGGAAACAACCTAAACCATATCATCTAAGAAGATTAGGGTAAAAGATTACATTCGATTTTTAAGCTTATCTTCTAGAAGGATCTCTGATTTCTAACACTCCGCCTCAAGCTGGCAGGTATATTTTAATCATGCCAAGCTTGCCGGTAAGTTCATCCAACAGCTTTTTAGTGAGTAGATTTGCTACTTGTTTTGAGGGTAAGTATACCGTGCACAGACTCCCAATTTTTCCCTTTTAAAATGACGATCAACTTCCACATACTTGGTCTGATCATGGTGAACCGGGTTATGAGCTATGCTGATGGCAGCTTTGTTGTCACAGTAAAGTTTTACTGGAGTTCGAATGGTACCCGCAGTTCCTCCAATAGTCGTCTTACCCATATTCCTTCGCATGTTTCATTTGCTACTGCTCGAAAATCTGACTCGGCACTGCTCCACCCTGGTTGTTTTTTGCTCCTCTTATGTCACAAGGGTTCCCCACACATAACTACAATATCCATTGGTAAAGCGTCCATCATTAGCAGCTCCTGTCCAGTCGGCATCAGTAAATACTTCAATGAATCTTTTTTCTTCTGATTTGAAGTGCAATCCATTTCCTGGAGTAGTTTTTAAGTACCTTAGAACTCAATAAGCAGCTTCCAAATGTCTCTCCTTAGGGGAGTGCATAATTTGGCTAAGAACAGTCAAGAGACATCGGGTATTGTGTGTGAGAGATAAATGAGTTTTCTGAATAGTCTTTGATATCTTTCTCTATCAACAGCAGCTCCGTCATCCTTGGTTCCTAACTTTTTGTTGAATTCCATGGGGTGTGGGCAGGTCTGCATCCAATCATTCCTGTCTCACTTGATAAATCTAGAAAATACTTTCTTTCTGAGACATGTCCTCCGGCTGAGACCTCTGGTACTCATATTTTTTATGCTCCCTCATATTCATTGCCACAATTTCGGATTTGATTTCACTAAGGGACTCTATAATGTCAGTGGTTGAGGGGGGAGTCTCAGTGTCATCATCCTCTGCAGCTTCTCCTTCGATGACCTTCTCAACTGATGGAGAAGAAAGACTCTCATGAGAGGGACAAGAGTCATATTCTATAAAGACAGTCTCAACCCGTTTTGGAGCAGTCATGGTAGCCTTGCCACCAGCTGAAGAAGTTAAGATAGCAGCATCAGCTGCTATGCCTGACTTTTTGAATTGCAAGGTCTGGACTTCTATCTGCTAGTGGTTCTTGTGTTGAGGTATGCAAAACCCCTTCAACAGTAGGTGTTGTTTGTTCCACTCTTGGTTCTTGTGGAGGGACATTTAAGGTCCCTTCATTATTGGAACATTCTGTGGAGACAAAACCCAAAATCTTAGTCCGCTCATCCACAAACCAATCATATTCGTTGGTGCCCTCAAAATATGAGCCAGATGGAAGGATGGAGGGCACCCAGTGGTCTTCAGATGGAGTCATCAGATCCTCAATTGCAGGACCTGATGAAGTAGTGGAGGCAAATGGAATGGAAAATGAAACAGGCTTAGGGAAGGGAACACCACTGCTAATGGATGATAGCCAGAGAAACCTATGATCTGGATCCTCTACAGTCTCTTGACTTGATCACAACAATAGATCTTTTTATTAAGCCCAACCCTAGAAATGAGAATGATGGGCAGGGCTGAGTTATTTTTGGGAAGGAGTGGGGCTTATTTAATATAAACAATTACTCTTTGTCAAACCAGCCATGGGTGGGGCTAGTGGTGTTAGAAAAAGTCTCTAATAGGTGTCTGTTGGCTTGCGTAGTATTGGTATGAGATGGTGATACTCCTGCATTTAATGTTATATGGAAAAAAGGTACAAAGGTATTAATAATGATATTAGAAAAAGATATGGACCTAAGAAAAGAGTTGACACGTCAAAAAGTTTATAAAGATTTGGATAAGGATCACATGAGAGGTGAATCTTATCCAGATGATGGTTCATTAGATGATGCCTATGTGTCAGATGACTTACCAGCTGATGGATATTAGTTGATGACCTATGACTAGTATCAGAAGATGATTTTTGACTGTCAGATGGTTTGAGTTTAAGGGTACATATTTAACATCCCTAACTCTTTGATCAAATACTGGAATCTTGAATATCAAGAGGTTTAGTGCAGGAGATTAGCTAGTTGATGTTCTGTTGAAATGAAGAATAGTTCGATATTACCTTTTTGAAGATGATCCCTAGGGAAATGATATTGCAGTTGATATCATGATAGAAGATTGGAATTTTCTCAAGATTGAAGTCATAGTCTATTAACCGATTCTTCATCCATAGAATCTGTATTCTTCATCCATAGAATTTGTGAACAGCAGCTACCAGCAACAACATACTCAACTTAAGTTGTTAAGGTTGATGGATTTTGCTTCTTGCTTGTCCAGCTGACAAGCTTTCCTCCCAATTATGGACAACCACCGGTTGTACTTTTTATTTCTAACTTACACCCTGCATGATCTGCATCTGAATAGCCAATTAGCTTAAAATCTTTAGGATACCGAAGTCCCAGATCGGGTGTTCCTTTGAAATACCTAAAGATTCTTTTCATAGCCAGCAGGTGTGGCTCCTTTGGATCAGCTTGGTATTTTGCACATAAACATGTTGCAAATATTGTAACAGGTCTACTAGCAGTTAAGTATAAAAGGGACCCTATCATGCCTCAATAAGCAATGATATCTACCGTCTTACCAAGTGGATCAGCATCAAGCTTAGCAGCTTGATTGATGAGCAGTTTCAAAAATTGAACTTTTTCAAAAGTTCTTTTAACATATTTGATTGACAAATTGAAATCCCTTTAGAAGTTTGTTTGATTTGAAGACCAAGGAAGAATGTCAATTCTTCGATCATATTTCATATTTACTTAGCATGAGAACAGAAAATATCTCACATAATGATTTGTTAGTAGACCAAAAGCAATATCAACATAAATCTGTATAAGGATGATATCACCTGCAACTTTCCTAAGAAAGAGGGTGTTATCAATCTTACCTCTTGTGAAGTAATTTGCAGATAAAAACTGGGATAGAGTGTCATACTAGGCTTTGGAAGCTTGTTTGAGTCCGTACAAGGCTTTTTCTAACTTGTAGACATAGTTTGGATGGACTGGATCTGTAAAACCACCAGGAGGTTACATGGCATATACTTCCTACGAAGCTTCCTATTGAGAAAGACACTCTTTTCGTCATGGTCTATTATTTCTTTTTGCCTATAGTCTCGAGCTACCAACCTAGCTTTGTTCCTGATTTCTATCCCATCTTTATCCATTTTGTTATTGTAAACCCATTTTGTGTCAATCACCGTCTTTCCAGCAGGTCATGGAACCAATCTCCAAACCTTGTTTCTTTCAAACTATGTGAGCTCTTGCATGACGCTCATCCAATGAGGATCTTGAATTGTTTCATTTATCTTCTTGGCCTCAACCATGGACCGGAAGTTCACGTAAAGACACTCATTTTGAGTGGCACTCCTTGTCTTGATACAAGTCTGAAGATCACCAATGATTTGTTCAATGGGGTGATCTCTAGTCCACTTTGTTGCAGGTGGAAGTAATGAACTTGCAATTACATATCCCCCTTGATTTTACAACTATTGAGCAAATTGAGCATCAGACAAGTCACTACCATTGACTTGTCCTTCTAGATACGTTGTCTCTGAGTTAGAAGTACTTGGAATTGAGGATGAACTCAGAGGAAACTCGGTAGCAGCTGGTGGGGTATAAAACTTCAGGAGAGGTAATGTTCGTTTAACAGATGATGTGACATATGATAGCCATTGTCAGATGATGGAAAATCTAGCCGAAACGGAACCATTGATATATCTCCGCACATCATCAGATCTTCTGCCAGGTTCATCAGATGGTTGATTTTCTTCTTTAAGATTGAGTTTAACACTGTCTTGAGTTGAAGTACAGGCACTTGAAATCCTTGCGTTCTACAACATTCAGAATGCAAAACAAGTTGTTCATTGTCAAATGTACAATGAGCTTCTTGAGTTATGTATAAAGAATGGAGACCATAAGAATCAACTTCTAAACTACGCATTACATCTATACCAAAGGTGTTTGGATAAGAAACCTCACTGCAGACTCTTTTGCGGAACACATTGTTGGATTAACATGTGTGAAAGAATTTTTTTTTTTTTGCGGAAGTTTGACCGCCATTTATTGGCTGAGAAAGAGAGGTAATCTGCCAGGTTTTAGCTATGCATCACATAGCGAGATGAGGCCATGGATTTTAAGTTTGCAACATCCATTTATTGTGTGTTGCATACTGAACTTTTAGAGGAGAGGATAAAATGAATTGTCTCGGAGGCTGTCTGCATAGAGATGAAATTCTTAAAGAGCACTTAACTAACTATCGATCTACTAGGTATGAACAACATTCTTTTCGTACAACATATTCAATGGGTTGTTGATCTGATTCTATGCAACTTTGGATACTCCAAGGTGTATGATGTAGAAACTCCGTTTGATTGGATGGTGTTCAATTCCTTGTGGAAGAAAACAAATTTGCTAGAAAGGAGCAATGAGGACCACCGCAAAGCTATAAGACATGGTGATGCCAAGAAGTGGAAGTTTGATAACGACGTCTGGTTTGGTTGAGTTAGTTGTAATAAAATCCTTGCAAATAGATGTTACTATTTGACATATCTGGTCACGAAGGTGATAAAACTCTTTAAATGTTGATAAATGATTACTGAATGAAAACTGTTTCTTCTACATAAAAAGGGGGGAGATTGTTGATATATGCTGCCAGATGCAACCATAAACGCAAAGATCTGAGTGATGAACTCTCTCTCGCTCTACCACAGAATTCCAATCATCTTTGGACAGATCTACTCTCCACTAGTTCAAAAATTGCTTAGTGATTGTTTATACATCTCATACTATTGATGATACTCGATCGGGAACAAGAGCCTAAATGCATGTTGAGTCTAGTTGTTCCCGATCGAGTATCTATGAGATGTATAAACAATCGGTAAGCAATTTTTGGACTTCGGAGAGATTAGGTCTGTCCAAAGATGATTGGAATTCTGTGCTAGAGCAAGAGAGAAAGAGAGTTCATCACTCATATCTTTGCATTTATGCCAGCATATATCAACAGAAGTATGCTATACTTGAGGTATTTTATGGAGGAACTTAGATATTTCGGTATGTCTAGGAGTGGATTGGATGTCTAGTAGTATACATCTACAATGTGGTATGTTAGATAGCGGCAATGATCATCGAGTGTTATAGCCGACATATTACATGAATGACATGTGTCTACAAGAAATGACTCCTGAATATTCCTTCATTTGGAGGAAATACATTTTGGACCTCTTATTCTCATGTTGTTCACTTTGATGCAAAGCATTGGATCACCTATTCTTATGGAAAAATATTATTGGAGGATTAAATTCCTAAGAGGATATAAGATAAATTAGAATACTCAATTATAGACATTGTAATTCTTTCACTCATGTATGCATCTCGTACACTAGGGTTTTGTCCTCTGGATAGTGACGTATCTCTTAAGACATCCTGTGGATGGTATCCTACAGTCATGTTAAGAGTATGGTGTATGGGCCTTCAGAAAGGAGGGATATGGCAGGAAGTGGTTCTAGCTCTACTGCAGAATCCAAGAGTACTGTACCATGGCGGATGTGTCTTCCGGGTGATCTTTGTCAACTGTCTTATGCATGAATGGATGTCACTTGTGGGATGATATGGATATGATCTTTTTCAAATGTGACTAATTATGATAATCAGTATAGCCAAATCTTTCATTAGAGAACTGAACATATAGATGTTGATTATCTTATCTTTTACGCAATTATTTTATGGATTCAACGGATCCTCCATCTGTTCAGCCTATCGACTGAGAAAACCTGTTGACTAAGAGAGCCTGTCGACTGAGAAACCCATGCAGGAAGTCCATATTGACTTCATCTAGTGGCAGATTGGATAATGATCAAACTCTGCTCCAACATGAGGAGCCAACTGTTATATTCTCATCATATCTCTGTCAAAACAAGTTCCATTTTCCTTTTGTTATGTTTATTTTGCCGATGAGCCTATCTTGTGAAAAGGTATGAACTTTGTAATTATTGTACTGTTGTTCTTTAAAAATCAGTGGGCTCTTTAGTAATGTGTAAATATTGTTTCGGGTGAAAGTAATCATTACAAGGTTTATATTGTAAAACAAAAGGAAATCGTCCTTCCGTAAAAAGTTGGCACTAATTTTGTAAGGTTTAGAGAGTGAAGTATGACGATTTGATCATCGATATGAATGCATTATGTTTACCAATCTTGCTTTAGGCAAAAAGTTATTGATGATAGAGACTTGAGTATCATACCCCAAGTAAATGTAGTGGTACTGAATATGTAGGACTGTATGTAGTGGGAACTGGGAAGTACTTCCATATGCAGTTTTCATCTCATCATCAAATTGTACGGTTGAAAGCTACTTATGATTTGGCCCTGTCTCTGCAGATTATTTTGCTACCAAGTGTGGTGTGCTTATGATGTCTCTGTTTGTCTTCTTCACCACAACAATGTCAGTTTCATTTACATTGAGAGAGACACAGACTCGAATGCTGAAGTTCACAGGTTTGTTCGATCATACTCTATTACAGGTTTGAACCAAACAAAAGAAAAGGAAGAGAACTCGAGTTGTAGATAGAAAACATATTGTTCTAACTATGAGGCAATCATGAAATGTCTTGGTTAATTGTGAAATTTTGAATTTCAGAAGTTATTTAATGTGCCCATGCTCTTATTAGGGATAGATTAGGACTATTCAGAAAATAGAATTTTCTGTTCCATTGGTCTTCTTCTAGGAGGGTTTCTACTCATTTTTGCATATTAAAGGGAGCCTGCCATGGTGTTTCCTCCCAATGTAACTCGTTTTGTTTTCTCTACTTATAGTGCAGCTCCAGCACCATGCTCGGCATCGTCTTCCGACTTTCCAGTTGATATTTGTACACGTAATTGAATCTCTTGTTTTTGTCCCAGTAAGTGTATACTATCTTATTGCATGTCGTTTAACTTTAATGAGCTGATTCATACTATCTTCATATAGATCTAGCATATATAATTTTACGTTTTTGTGTCTGCAGATAATGATAGGGATCCTGTTTTTTCTTTTTGAGTTTTACGATGACCAACTTTTAGCTTTCATGGTGTTGATTCTTGTCTGGCTTTGTGAACTCTTTACTCTTATCAGGTTCTCGCCCTCTCTCTCTCCCTCTGACACACACAAACACAGAAAATATGTGGAACATGCTTAAAGAACACTATGGAGTACAAATAAACAATTCATTTCCCCCTGTTTTTTCTGTTTGAGATTGGTTGTAAACTAGGGTCAAAGTATTTGAGCTAGCTTTTATATGAAGAGACAGTTCATCATGCACTGCTGAATCATCCCTGTATACAAGCACTATTTTCATACTACCCAACTACTTATCATTAATGAACTCGGGGCTAATATTATTTACTAAATCCATATTTCAGTCTATATTGTTACGTATATAATTCTTGATTTGCTTGCAGTGTCCGTACACCAATATCAATGAAGTTCTTTCCACGCTTTTTTTTGCTATACTTTCTGGTGTTCCATATCTATTTCTTCTCGTACACCCATGGTTCGTTCCTCTTACTTATACTTGTCAATTCTTATGCTTGGCACTTATATTATCTGTAGCAACATGGTAGAATGAATTTTTCAGGATTTTCCTATCTGGCCCTTTCAACAACCGCTGCGTTTATGCAACACCTCATTCTCTACTTCTGGAACCGATTTGAGGTGAGAACATTTTAAAAATGATTTCAACAATAATAAGTGGTATCTTATGTTGAATATAATGCATCTAACCCAAAAGCAATGGCCATTATGAGTATCCAAGGACTTGTAAAAAGTCCAATCTGACATGTCCAATTATCATTAGTAGGATGAGAAAGACATCTCCATGGAGTGATACATAGGAGAGTGAAACAATACCAGAAACATGGATCATGCAAGCCAACCCTAATCAGCCTTGAATTCTGAGATGCAAGGGTTATTAAAGGCTTTAGGAGAATATGAATTGTATATTACTGTGTTGATTAATTACAATACAGGGAAGATATATACACACACACACAAGATGGAAAAGAGATGAGGACTATTCTAAAGCAACTCTCTATTGGAGTCTTGGAGTCTATCTATAACTGTAGATCCCAAATCACACAGCAAAAACAAGTTATACACTCAAAGGATTTATCAATGAAGAACAAAGCGTTTGGAGAGCAAATCTCTCAGCCTGATTTTATTGAAACAACTAAAAGCTTACAATTCGACTCTCATAATAATTTCTAAACCCAAGACACCTATTTATAGGTGCCAATACAACATATAAGCCCAAAGCTCAATTACAATACAAAGAGTATTACAATACAATACAATGACTTTATAAAACTTTCATTATCTTGGGGCTAATCTAGACCCAACAATCTCCCCCTAAAGTTTTATAAAGGAAGCATTAGATAATCCCCCCTGCTCTTTTTGGAAAACTTTAGTGTTGCCTCGTCTTTAAAGAACATTTCAAGCTCCCCTTGAATAAAGCTCTTATTCTTCAGTTTCAACTTTAAAATCAGATTCAATGTGCCTTCAACACCACTGATTGCACCAACAAGTAGCTTTAATCTGTAGACAACTCAACACAACCATTAACCTCAGAATCTCAGCCAACCCATAAGCATATTGATTCATCCAACAATGGGATAGATAATGTGCAGGTTACGTGACATTCCATTGTGCAGAATCAGTCTAATAACAAAGAATCTTTCTTTGAACCTCGAGTTGAATAAGCTTTCAACTTAAGAACTTGTTCTGATAAGCTCACAAAATGGGGTTTCAATATCAGCTTGAATAACCAGAGCAAACACCTTTTGGCAATGAAATTCGAAGAGATGCAACATTAAAAACATAGCTTCTTAATCAGCAGCTGTCAACCAAGAAAGATAAGCCGATTTCCTTCATACTTTCAGAAAGTTGAATAACCAAAACCCAGATCCAAAATTCTCAATCAGGCGAATGATTATCGGCACTCAAACCATAAAATCACAACCATACCTCCAGAACAATGATTGTAATCACTCAAACCTCTAATTGATCAGGTTAGATCAATGATTGAGAACACTCAAAGGTCTAGTATCTCGAGAGAACTCCAGAACAATGATTGCAAGTCTTCAAAAACTCTAATTGAACAGGTCAGAATAGTGATTGAAAGCACTCAACAGTCTGGCCTCTTGCAGAAAATTTCAGAGTAATGATTGCAGAAATTCTGATTTTCTCTATTCTTGCTACAGGAGCAAATGTTTCATCATAATCCATACCCTCTTGTTGATTATATCCTTTCGCCACAAGTCGAGCTTTTTTTCGAACAACAACTCCGTCTTTATCTTTCTTATTTTTGAACACCCATTTCGTACCGATAATTCTTTTGTCCCTAGGACGAGGTACTAATCTCCAGACTTTTAGGTTTATACACTGATTTGAGTTTTTGCATGGCTATGATCCAATCCGGATCTGCTAAGGCTTCAGTTACCTTAGTCGGTTCAATTTTGCTTAAAAATGTTGCATGCATGCATTCATTAGCAGTAGCAGACCTTGTATGGACAGATGCTGATGGACCACCAATAATTTGATGCATTGGATGTAAGATTACTAATCCTTAACTTTTCGAGGAATCCTTCATCAATGGTTATGAATGACTGATTTTTTCAATCTTTTCGATCTTGGTTCCGTAGGAATCCTGGTCCACTTATTGCTATGGGGAAGTGGTATGTATGAAGATTGATTTGAAATTGGATCCATATAACCACTTGGGGGATTGTCTTGAACAGAATGAAGGATTTGAATTTGAATTAATAGTAGACTGATTCTCTGCCAAAGTTTGAACATTTACTGTTATTGCATCAGATTCAACAGCTGGAACTTCTGGCAGATTTGGAATCAGACTCTCTTCACTTGAAATAGGACAAACTTGATCCTCCAAAGGAGATTCAACAGGAATTAAAATATGTTGTTGTATCCTGATACTGAAATTGGCTCTTCATCTCGAACATCTCAATCCTGGTAGAAACATCAAAATTATTATTGTAAGTTCCAAAGTATTCTTCACAGAAATTTTCAAATGGTAAATCCAAATCAGAAAAATTAGATTTAGAAGTTGAAGGTTCATCTGGATTTTTCTTCTTTGGAGCAACTTCTGATCGAATCTTGTCAGAAGCTAAAACTCCAGAAAGTACGGGTTCTGAACTGTTGTGTTCAGAAGCCAAGTCAGCTAACTCATCGAATGTAACATTAACGCTGTCATTCACAAATCTTGTTCTTTTATTATACACTCAATATGCAACAAAGTCTTTGGAATATCTAATAAAAACAGCTTCATCAGCTTTCGCACCGAGTTTTCTTCTTTCTTCTTTGTCATTTAAGATAAAACACCTGCAACCAAATACTCGAATTTTTTTGATATTAGGTATTCTTTTCTTAATCAACTCATAAGGTGTTCTACCAAACCTTTTATTCACAATGGATCGGTAAAACATGCAGTATCGACAACTTCGGCTTACAAATTTAATGGAAGCTTTGAATAAGCAGGCAAAGTTCGCGCAGCTTCCACCAAAGTTCTATTTTTTCTTTCAACTACACCATTCTGCTGTGGTGTACGAGCCGCTAAAAACGTATGTGTGATACCAACTGAATCTAGGAAGGAACCCAAAGCTTTGTTCTTGAATTCTGTACCATTATCCATTCTAAGCTTTTTAATAGATAATTTCAGATTTACTTGAACACTCTTGATAAACGAAATGATTAGCTCTGGAGCTTCATCCTTGGACCTTAAAAACTTTACCCACGTGTATCTGGAAAAGTCATCAACTATCACCAACACATACCGTTTTCCGTTAATACCGTGAACTCGTATTGGACCACAAGCTGCACACAAGTGTTCTTTACTATGCTCCACTTTAGATTTGTGCGAAGCTCTCTTCATCTTTTCCAACTCACAAGCTTGGACACAGGTGTTCTTTTTGAAACTTGAGATCTGAAATTTCTTTTACTAAACCTCCAATAACCAACTTGTTTAGATTCTTGAAGTTCAAATGTGAGAGACGTGTATGCCACAAAAGATTATGTTGCATAGATGCTTTGGACAATAAGCAGACATCAATATCTACTTTCAAATTGGATAGATCAATTGTGTAGAGATTCGACTTCCGCTTCCCTGCTAAAAAGCACTTTTCCATCTTCAGTTTGGACGTTACACCGATTAGCCTTAAAGTTAACTAACCTATACTGAACAAGTTGTGTCCAAGTCCCTCGATCAAATTATCTTGAATGATGTCACCATATCCTAATATCGGTGAAACTGATCATTTCCAAATTGGACAGTTCCTCCAGAAGTATCTGTGAAGTTTGACAGTAACACTTTCCTTCCAGTCATGTGTTTAAAGCATCCTGAGTCTAAGTACTACACATGACGGTTAACCTGCAACCCAACCTAGATTACTTCAATTTAGGTACCCACTTAGTGATGGGTCCTTTTATGTTAGTTCTGGTTTGAGGTATGCTATATGTACCAAACCAACTGTTCTCACAATGGATGCCCTGGTTTTAGATCTGATCTTTGAAGAATTAGGAACAAAATATGTGCCATATAAAGAATCAAAATTAGTAAAAGGAACAAAATTATTCCAACCACATTTAGAACAACAAATCTTTCCATTAGCTAAACGGATTAATTGTTTGACAGAATACTTTTTGCACAAAACATTGTCCACATGTTTTTTATCCATTACAAGTCCAGAAAATCTGTTCTTCTTATGATTGAGTTCTTAAACAATGATCTGAAATATCAAAAACAAAATCATCCGACGAATGGTAATGATTAGCATGCTTTTTCTGAAATTTAGGAGTCCTTTTTTGTTTCTATAAATACCTTTTTAATTTATTCTTTTTATAATAGGTATTCTTAGGAACAGATTCAGAATTAGATTTTGAACTCTCACCTTTAAAAATCTTTATTGGTTCTTGAGCCTTTTCTTTTCCTTTGTTTAAAAATTCAACATGGCTCGAAAGTTTTGGTGAAAAATCAAACTGATTAATCTCATCATCTAGACAAACATTTGAATTTAGAATCTCAGAAAATTCAATCTCCTAAGATAATTTGATATCATCTGAATCCGTTGAATTGCTTGAAGATTTTGTAACAAAATTTCCCATAAATGCTTTACACAAAGACGCTTCTGAATCAACAGAAGAATTTTCTGAGAAAATCACTTCAACTGAATCTGTATTATCTTCTTTTGAAACATTATCAGATTCAAGCTCTTTAATCTTTGATAAAAGCGACTCCCTTTCTTCTTCAAAATAATTTCTTTCTTCTTTTAAAACTTTTTCAAGTTGAACAATTTGTTTTTCCAAAACCAAAGTTGGAGTGTAAGGTTTTTGTTCAACTGGTTTATAAGAAAGTTCATCAGTTGAATAACTATGAATGTGATAATTAGAAAGTGTACTCTTGTATGGTAAACTTCATTTAGTTCCTCATAATTGAAAGGTTATTGCATTTTATCAGTTCTTTTGCGATTCAGATCTTCTTGCTCCTCAACTTCGTCAGATGAACTTCATAAACTGAATTCTATAATCTCGACCGAGGTCTAGAAAATCGAACTCATATAAAGTAGGAGTTTTTCAAATATTTGGGATTTTCATATCCTAAACCTTCTCTTGGATTAAAAAAATATCTAAATTCATTTGGTTTG